CACAGGCCTCCAAACAGTCCTTAATATTTTGCAAGGGTCTCAGCTCAATCTCGAGATTATCACAGGGGGTGATGGATAGTAGATGACCCGCACTGGTAATTACCTCAAACACAGCTACAACCACAAGTGGAATTTAATTAGAGTCGGCGGGATGAAAAAGCAACTCAAAAACTGTTCCACTTGCTTCCACGAGGCCACACACTCTACAGCATCTCTAAAAAAATCTAAAGGCAAGATTATCACCCAGGAGTTCTCCTTGAGATGTTAAGGCTTGGCAATTAAAATGATAATGACTGCATAACTACAAGACCTGGTTCTCAGAATCAGACCGAACACACTCCTACATACGTGCAGAAAGTCGCGTGTGCACATAATTATCACCTGTTTAATGCTGACATATCATGCACAGTGCAGAAGACTCTCCGTGCTCCTTAATTTGTGACGGGTATCTCTTATCTGGTTTCTGCTTGTTTTAATCCTGTCTTTCTTCACCTTACTTTTTCTTTCTCCTGTCTTCAACTAATTATATGCAAAACTTGTACTTTTTTTAATACATCAGCTACTTGAATTCACCCTCCTTTGTATAATTACTTCCTGCTAATTTTAACCAATTAAAAGAAACATCACTCAGATCGCATTTTAATGCTGTTAATGCTTACAAGACTTACTACACAACAAATGTCAACACACATGCCCGGATAACATAAATGTCCTTCACAACCACGGTCATGGAAACGACACACGTGCATGTGCACACGCAAATTAAATAAGTGCATTATAAAGAAGCGTAGAGAATAGTCGTCTGTCAGTAATAGAGAGAGGATTAAGGCTTGGATGGTCGTGTAATCACTGGATGTGGGTGTTAAATCCCTGGCATATAGCTTCCATACTGCTGAGTGCAACTACAGGAAGTTTTCTGCTGCTGCCATGGGCATCTGCATGTGAAATCACAGCAGCACACACTTTATTTCTCAGCGTAATTTGTAAATGGAGGTAGAAACTCACTACATAGAGGGGTTTATATGGAAAAGTGGTCAGTGGAAGAAAAAAATAAAGACTGGTCAAGTGCTGTGACGTATAGATTTCACACCCCATCTTGGAAAGTATAAAAAAAAAAATGACAACAAAAAATAATGTGTCGTCATTCTTTTCTTTATTTGTTCAAGTTTAAATTTAAAGACACACATCTCTCTCCCCTTAACACTACAAGCTAATGCACTTATGACATGTCTGTTAGATCACAAGGACACATTTTGCATTTACAACAAATGTAAACATAACTTTTGTTCGTTTACAAAATCTCTACAAAAAGGTTAAGATTTGGAAATCAAGTTCTTTGCTTGGTTAACATGTGGTGTTTTTTTTATATACTACAAGACACATTATGAGCAAAATAAGCAATTAAAGCCATGGCCTTGAAACCACAGTATACCATTGACAGTCTCATAGCTTCACACAGCCAGGATTTCATACGCAACCAAGCAATCGTATTAGCTTGCAGGGTAGGAGTTAGTTTCTGGGTTGAACACGTATGACTGCATTACTTCAATATTATAGCTTTTTGCAATTTTGCAGCTTAAAGTAGTTTTCAAGCATTTGAGTGGCGTCATAGGTGAGCTGGTGTGCTGAGCTGCAGTTAATGACAAAATGGTTGGTGGAAGGACTTGGATCTGCACAATCTAAAGGAAGGCATGATACACTTAAAGAAGGTTTTAATCAGTGAGTAAATAGAGACTTTAATGAGAGGCTATGAAGGAAAAATTAGTTTTCACAGCATGCACATGTTTAAATTTCATATGAAAAACGCATACAAGGGGTTTAAAAGTTAAGAGCACGGGTGAAGATGCTTCTAATTTGTATTCCTCTTGAATGACATACTTGTTACTCATAAAATTATCTGATCAGCAGTTTAAGCAAAGGTTGTTTTTTTTTTTTGTTTTTTTTTTTAAAGTACGGGAAATTCAGAATGTCTTACCTGTTTGTTATGCCACCCTTTCACTAGCAGCTCTTTGGCTGCATGGACTTTATCAGTTTGTACAAACTGTAATAACCCATTTATCGCTGTTATCCAAGCATGATTTTACAATGTTCCAAAGGGCTTCTGTTAATGACAGGAAGGATTGGCTTTCCCCCAGTGTCCCTATAAATGTTCAAGGTCAGGTGACTGTGGAGGAAAGTCTCTGACAGTCAGCAGGCCTCCATCTTCTGTGTTCTGCAAGTCGTTCTTGAAAAGGTTTGAGGTGTGTTTGGGCTCATTATCCTGCTGCAGTATGAATCCTCCTGCTCACGACATAGAGGGGTAAAGCAGGTCTCTGAGGACAGGAGGTTGTTTCTCCTTGGTCGGGGTGGTGTCGATTCAGCACAGATGTCCAACTCCAGAGTAGCGAAACATCTGACCGCCATGTTTCACTGATGGTTGGACACACCGTGTTTCATTCTCTCTCCTGGTCAGCTCTAACTGGAGTTCATCAGTAAATAAAACCTTCTTTTTTTCCTTTTTTCTTTTTCCCAGTCATCCATTGTGAAGTGCTGATATGTCTTTGCACACCTCAAGCATTTGGCCTTTTTTTTCCCCCTGCTGAGAAGTACTTTAGAGACCGCTGCTTATCCTCTGAGATCCCTCATGTACAAAGGTGTTAACATGGTCCCTACTTTCTTTGGAATATTTCTAAGTTCACATAAAAATGTGACATATTTTTTGGTGTGAACTCCGCAGTAAACAGGCAATGCAGCCATGTTCACAATTGCACAGAGAGTACATTGCGAATGCATATCCTCCTGAATATCCCTTAATGCGATTACATACACATATGCCAATGTATGCAAATCATTGTGTATATAAACCGTTATCAAGTGGTCACTGTACTTGAGGCTGTTTTCAGAATGTCACAGTGGTAACTTTATCAATCTCCTCCAAAAAGGCAAAGACAAAAAACAGGCTTCTTTGTGTCGGTTCAGTGTGAAAACAATCACTTGTGGCCGATTCTATCCGCCGATTGAGTCACTTCATGTCGTCAGCAGCCGGTTGCTAATTAAGGAATAAACCGCAAAGAACCATTTAGCGTCACGATCTATTCATATTTGTCCTCCTAATGAGATAGGCTTAACTTAATATGTTTATTGGCTTTCTCCTGCTCGGGAAATGTAAATTTATTTTTACCATGCCAATATATTGTGATTCGAATTGAGCCAAGTCATACAGTCAAAAGAGGGATTACCACCTTTGTCACTGAGGGAAATCATTCAGCTTAAGCAACTTGTCATTTCGCCAAGGTCATAAATCACTTAGCATATTAGCATGCTTAGTGCGTGTGCGCATGGGAGTGTCATTATCCATGGATGCATACTAAGATCGCTCAGTCATAATTGATGAGCTAAGGGAAATACACCCCCCTCTATATTTAATGAAGATACACGGGTGTCTGATGCTCACACACTCAATAGGCACATATGTAGATGTGGCAAACCAGGAGACACGGGGGGGCACGAGGGCTGTCCGTGGAGACACACTCTCAAATATGCATTGTTCTCAATTAAGCCACTCGGCACAGGTTTGTGTTGCGACACTTGTCCGGACATTGTCTTGAATTAGTTATCAGTGCAGCCCTTAGTTAACCCCAAATCTGGCCTCTCACCTCTTAACAGTAACGTCTTTAAAGTAAAGAAGTGTTTCAAACAGTTTAGATGGCCTTTGGTCAACAGTGTTAGGAAACCACACAGACGCTTGCTGTACACGGAGGAGGGTGTGTGTGTGTGTGTTAGAGTGTCTGTGGTAAATGGATTAGGACTTGAATGTCATATCAATTGCTGTTTCCTTCTCATGCTCGCACTTCCTCACGCACAGCTGTGTCACGGCACAAACACTGCCGCACTTATGCTGAATTGTGAGCGTTTGATATGCATGGAAAGTGAAAGAATGAAAGGGGGAACAGTTGCGTAGCGGCTGACACTGAGCAATGACAGCGAATGTAGTCTTACGCGCGCATACATTACGGACCACACATCCGCAGCCGCGCAAACAACCGGAGCCCGGCACGTATACACAAATTGACGCTGAGAATCCATCTTACATTTTCCCAGCCAAATCTTTTGTTCTGACATCGTCCCTCTCTCTCTCTTCACACACACACACACATACAGAGTGAGAACAAGAAGATATCTCACTATTTAGTCTCCAGGAGAGGTACTCATCCTAATCCCTGATTAACAATATCAGTCGGTGGTGACAGTTTAATTTAACACAGTGCTTCTCAGGGATTAGCCACTGCATGAGGGTGTGCATACACTCATACACCCACGCACACACACACACACACACACACGCACACAATTCCCATGCAGATTAAAGATCACGCTTATGTATATTTTACTTTAGAATAGCCACTGAGGAAATAAGATGATAATGGCTTCAAACACATTTTTCTGCAACACGGCAAAGCTGATAATGAGAAGGAGGCGCCGGCACATACATTGAGGCGTTGTGTAAATAAAGGTGAATATTAAAGGCGTTTTTCACCGTGACAAGCGCCGGGTAATGTTTTAGGTGTCCTTTCTGCAAACGTTTCAGCAATATTGTTTCGTGTCATCGTTCAGGTTGCGCGCGTGCAGGCCTTTGTAGGTTGCTTGTATGTTTTTGTGTGTAGAGGAAATGAAGAGGGATGCTTTTCAGTGTGTACCATGTCTAAACCTCGCAAGCACATTCAATTTGAACAGAGATCAAACAGAGAGTTGCATCAGTGGTTATAATGTGCGTGGAATGATTGAAATGGATGCCTTTAGCCAGGAATCAAATATTCTCACAGGCCGTTGTCTGCTAATTATTATGCATATATCAGCGTGTCTGCAGGCCCTGCAGAGATGGAGAAATATGTAAAGCCAAAAGCATCAAATGGAGTCGCTTTAGGTTTAGAGATCATGTTACACTTAATGTTATCATTGCACCGTCCTTCTAACCAGTAGTGTTGCGTAACAGCATTCTGTGTCCGTGTGCTTCTTTGCAGTCATCTGCCTGGTTGGCCTCGGCCTGGTGGTGTTTTTCTTCAGCTTCCTGCTCTCCATCTTCAGGTCAAAGTATCACGGATACCCCTACAGGTAAACACAGCAAACCACACAGCACCGCCGCACAGACGCTCTCACCCCGGCGTCCTCGACAGCTATTCAAACACAATCCACAGGCGCACGGTGCATCTCAAAATCACTGAAGTTGACGTAAAATCGCTGCAGAGTTATTGCAAACACAGTGCAGAAATCCAGGCCAAAACAGGATCCATCCATTCCCATTATTCCTTTGATTTAATGACAGCTGCTCGATTGGAAACACTCCCTCCAAAATGTACAAGACACAGAGCCAACGTTCTTTCTCCAGAGGCCAGTCTTACAGCGAACAGATTTGCAGCCTGATTTCGTGGGATCGCTGCGTTTTTCTCTTGTTTTGCTGTATATTCAGTATATTATCGCCTGTTTCCCCCGTTCAGTCCTCATCATTAGAAATCATGGCTCTTTCCTAAAGGTTGTCATGCAGTAAATGTGTTTGGACACTGAAGCTCTTTAGCTTAGTGAGCCTGAACAGCAGCAATTTTGTCCCACTTTGAACTAAAGGTCACCCACTACATAAAAAAAAAAGATTTAATGTGTGACGGGAAACACTCCACAAGTCTGAAGAGTCTGGGTCCAATTCTTCGCCACTTAAGCAGCAGGAGGATATTTTGTGTACAACACCTGAAACCTGAGCTGCTGAAACTCATCTGTGGAGCTAAAAGACATTCAGGAAGTTGAGGGCACTTCAGCAGTTCAGCTAATTTACCATCACGGTGGGGGTATTGAGCCCTGTTGTAACCTGTAGATGAAATAGGACCAAACTGTAGTGTTCCAGTTCAGTGGAGGGGTTTAAAATCCAATAATTGTTGTTGAGAGACTTAAAGGCACTGATGGAAGGATTACTGGTGGTGTGGAACTGGTAACCTTTTATTTTATTCCTCTGGAGTTGCTGTTTTTTTCCCCTAATTTCCAGCAAGTTGACTGTAATGCGGTACTATTAATTTGGAAAACTGGCATCTTTTAAAGGAAAACATCCATTTAAAAGTGGATTCTTCATACATGTTTAATTTGTTCATCTGTAGTTTGAGCTGACCTGCTGTGCCTTGACTTCGAGTGAATCAAACGAAAACTCTCCATGTTTCCTGTAATATTTGAAGAGTTCATTTGCAAAAACAGATAACTCCATCTTCACAAACCTTGAGAAAACCCACTTTTCCATCGTCTACCTGACTTAAGCAGAGGTTTGTCTAAATAATGTTACCGGGGCGCTGCGCCCTCATTACTCCCGGCTTGCGCCCTCTTACCAAAATGCCGACTGAACCCTAGTAACACTTGGGCCATGTTCTTACATGCTGCCGTACAACATGCAATCTTGACGAAAACGATCTTCTCGGCCGTGACAATATCCCAGCACCATCACAAGACAACGTATCGGCTCATCACAAACGTTATAATGACATATTCCGATAGCGGCAGATACACCGTGAGACGGTGCAAAAAAACGATCGAAATTGGCGTTTTCCATGCCGAGGCGCCATGTTGTTTTGCTGCTAGCTGCTCTCGCGAGATTTCATAGAGGTTACATGCAAGGTCAGCTGACCTACACAGCGAGATTTCTGGAGACTGAATGACCTTTCACCTACTGGCGCGGGAGCTTTGACAGAAAAGAGCTGTTTTTGTTCACGCTTGGGCATTTAAAGATGTCATCTGGCGGCACAAAACAGAAGAAGGCAAAAGTGTGTCTGGGGCAGAAGAAGATGACTTGTTTTTTCTGCCACAAATCGGATAAAGGTGGCCAGTAGTAGTAGAAGTATTTGTCATGTTTTCATTTACAGAGTACAGCTGTATTACGACTCTAACCAAACAACAATTACTCAACAGTTGATAGTGTCTTGATTTCTGAAGTTTCATGAGCTAAAGTTTCTCTCTCAGATAGCCTCAGAATGTCCCGTTTAGGCTTCAATTTTTCAAAGGCTTCGCATCCCCTCCTCGGTCGCTTCGCCAATTTTTTTTCTAGAAAAACCCCTGCTTAAGTTATCTTTATTATCGTCATGTCATTTCTACTGAGTCAAATCTACAGTTTGATTGAGATTATCTCAAGCAAACGACAACCAAAAAATAAGTTTCCTGAAAATCTACGAAAACGGATTTATCTTTTTTTGCAAATGAACTCTTCATTTATCAAATCACAGGCTTCAGCCCAGGAAACGTAGAGTGAACATGACGTGGAAAGGCCTCCAAAGTACACTGATGCCATCAGGGTTAAACTATTGTAGGCGGGAATCATTTGCTGTAATGAACTCTACTCCTCCCACTCGTTTACCAGTCCACCTATACAACAGCAAGATCACAGCAGTAGTTATGTGAAATATGAGATGCAGAGCAGCAAAAGCGTGACTGGTTCTTGACATTAAATTCAGCCTGAGAAGGAAGATATATTTTTCACTTCCTAAAAATAGGTCACTGATACCTACCATCTAGTGTATGCTTATTATTTGATATGAAACACAGAAATGTTTAGCAATAAAAGCAAATTGTATGTAATGAGGAAGCAGCCAGCACCATCTCTGAAGTGCCATAATAACCGTGAAGCAAATGTGTACTTCATATAATTCGATAATACACTTCACCGCTGCTTACGTTGAGCTCCAAGAGGCGGCATTTTAAATCTCTGTTGTTTATATTTAACTGTGACCCGCTACGTATTAATAAAGTGCGTGTTTTGAATTTTGAATGGCGTGTAGGAATATTTGGGGGCAGGTCTGCTGCTGCTGCTCCTTCCTATTTGGTAAACACAAATGCATCTCCAGCAAGCAATTGAGCAATTTTACCTGATTACATGCTTCGGGAAACTGTTTGAACTCGCAATAAGTACTTTCTAAACAGATAATCACCAACGGCCACAGGCTTTTGTGTGTGTGTGTGTTGGGTTTTTTTTTGGCCTCTGTGTTGTTCTGCAACACCAAGTAAAGCGGAAAAAGGCTTTTATCGATATGAAAGTCCCCAAATGTTGGTTTGATGAGAACTGATTGGTCGGTTGGTCCCTGGTTTTGTTTGTAATTACAAATCTAAAGTTTAGGATCATTTCGAGAAGGTAAAGAAACGCCAAGAAGGTGACAAAACATTCGTTTATCGTGTGTCAAGAATGATAATTATGTGAATTTGCGCTAAAGTTTGTTGGAATACGTGAACAAAATGTCTTTTTGCAGCTTTTTCTGACAGATTTTAAAGACTCATTTTGATGGTTTTCTCTGTAATCTAGCATAGTTCTAACAACGCTATATTCAATATTGTCTCTCAAACCAGGGACTTAAACCACTTTCTAATTCTCCCAAAAGCATCTATATTGAAACGATTCACTTATTATCTAAACCATGTGACAGCTATTAATGACTGACGGCTTTAACTAATGACTTGCCGACTGAAAATCTCTGCTTGGCGGCAGTCCTAATTTATGTCCCTCTTTTCTTTTCCTACTCTCCTTTGTTTGCTTCGTTCCCCCCCTCTCTCTTCTCCTTTGTCTTGTAGCTTCCTTATTAAGTAAAAAAAAAAACGGCAGAAGAGGAGGTCAGAGGATGTCGAGGAGGCGGTAGGTGAGGAGGAGTCGAGAACATACTTGAAGAGGAGGCAGTGTAACTACTGAGGCTAAAGTGCATGATGGAGTTTCTTTTTGTGTGTGTTGTTGTTTCTTTTTTTTTATTTTATTAACTGCTATCATCGAATCGTTGAGCTGAAATACAAATAAATTGTACCTTCGCGCACTGGAAAATAAAGGTGTTTGGCTTGTCTCTGTATCTTTGTCGATTCTTTTCAGCGGTTGAATGTTCCGACTTCCTTTAATACATGGATTTAAGCCTATTTATTACAACTGTGTCACATATGGAAGCTGAAATGTATGAAAGCTTAATAACTGGGTGCAATTTCTCTTGTGCCAAGTACTTATATATCTTTATGTTAATGTCGGTTGTGTAGAAGCAAATTCCTGCATCATGTTTGTAGTCAACCTGCTCTTTACAGTGTAAATCCAACCATTTGAATCTGAGGTTAGAAAGATTCCTGACCTACAATTTCTGTTGGCATCTTAGATTTTCATCTGTTGGTGCTAAACTGTATAGTACATTTTCTTGAACCAGGATGGCTTCTCCTGCCTTTCCCCCTGCAATCTCACAGGACGTTTATATTGTATATCTGCAAAATGTAGACTGCCAAAGCCTTTCAGCTGGGTACATACTGTATATTTACTTGACAGCTAAATCATAGGTTGTGTTGGGCAACTTGGAGGAGGTCAGTAGACAAATTGTCATCATAGTTTAATAGCAAAAACTAGAAGACTGCGCTCCCCCCACCAAAGCCAATGGCCTATCTTGCAATTTTAAAGAAAGTGATGTGGATCCAAACCTAAATTTAAGGGGTCCTTCCTTTGCTTCACCTCTCTGCCAAACACCATGGAATCCAGCCTGGTAGTTTTTTTTTTTGCATAATCTTGCTGACAGCCAATAAAAACACATACCAGACATAACAGGAATAAACATCAAAATCAATTAATATGGCAAAGGGCAAGAAAAACTCAAGATGCAAGAGTTGAAAGAAAACACATTTGGCTGTTCTAAATGAACAATAACTCATTGAACTCAAACCTCCTCCCCCATGATGCAAAGCAGCAACACATGAGTTCACAGGGGCTGCTGATGAGTGGTGCAGCATTTCTTGGAGAATGTGAGAAGCATAGGTCATTTAGTGAACACATATACAGCTCTTTCACTTGTGGACTGCCCACTAAAACACTGAGTGGGCTGAGTGTTGAAACCATTTATGTAACCTGCTGTGCGTGGGCTGCCAGAGGAATGGTTACTGTAGATAGAAAAATGTCATAAAAATATTCCCATTCTTGTCTATTTTTGTTTGAAATCATTGGAAGAGGGAAGCATTGTCTGTGTATTCGTGCAAGCTGATCTTTAAAAAAAACAACAACAACACAAATACACACAGTGGTATATTTGACTTTGCCAGTTCATGCTGGAAGCTCAACTAAATCAAAGATTACTGAGAGTTGCTTACTCGTTAGCACAGCGGGATTATATAAATAGAATCACTGCATTTAGCGAGAATGTTATGCGCGGCGGCGGCGTTGCGAGAGGGGTGGCATACTTCTAGTAACACCTGCCCTCTTTGTGCTCGTATGAAAATAATAACTTCCTTATTTAGAGTGAGCAGAACAATCGCTGTAAGCTCGCTGAATGAGGCTGTTTTGGTGCGAGGATGCATGAGAGGAGCGTCTCAGCCTAAAAGTTCCAGTGCTGCGTCACATTTGAATGAAGCGGCAGAAGAATTCCGACTGTCAGCGGAATTCCCCATCTGTTTTCCCTCAACTGTTGGCCTTTATGTTGGGAGGACGAAGGCAGAGCAAATGTCACCTATTTCCAAATGGATGGAAATCAATGTGGATATCAGACAGAGGACCGTTGTAGGACACATAGCAGTTGGAACTCAGAAGGGCCTTACGGGGTTTTACTCCCTTTTATAACCTCCTGTGAAAAACTTCAAAGACAGAGATGCAAATAGAGTTAAGAGTAAAAAAGCACCATCAACACTGATCAGAGTTCAGCATACTAACACTGATTGCATTTAACAGTGTTTAACAGCAGAAGTAAGGCGTCATGTTCATGAAAAAGTTCTCCTCGTATACAATCGTAATGAAACAAGTCTTTAAATGATGTAGAATAGCTGCAAGGTGGCGCAGTTGGTAGCACTGTTGCCGGTTCGCGTCCCGGTGGGGGCACCGGAATCTTTCTGCGTGGAGTTTGCATGTTCTCCCCGTGCAGCGTGGGTTCTCTCCGGGTTCTCCGGCTTCCTCCCACACAGTCCAAAAACATGTTGAGGTTAATTGGTGATTCTAAATTGTCCGTAAGTGTGAATGTGATGGTTGGTTGTCTGTCTCTAAGTGTAGCCCTGTGATAGACTGGTGACCTGTCCAGGGTGTCCCCTGCCTTCGCCCTAAGTCAGCTGGGATAGACTCCAGCCCCCCACGACCCTAATGAGGATTAAGCGGTGTATAGAAAATGGATGGATGATGTAAAATAAAGCAGCAACGTCTGGGGCTGACAAATGAAGCCACAGAACACAAAAAGTGCAGTTCTTTAAATGGCCACTTGACGCTGGATCCAGAAGTGAGTCGATCCCCCAGAGCACAGGGGTCAAATTTCGGCCTGTGGGCCAAAAACTGGCCCCCAGTGTGATTATATTTGCCCTGCGAGATAATATCAAATGTCTATTAGACCTGGTCCGCCAGTATATAGCACATGCATCGTTAATACTACATATCCCAGAATGCTCTGCTAGTGCGTTGTCAATGAAGACCTACAAGCATCCCCTCCCCCTTCTGTTGGCATTCATTAGCAACCTCATGTTAGCAGTCACCTCAGGAACATTTAAGCCACCCCTCACAATAGATGGAAAAACAGGAGCTTTGACAACAGGTGGGAGGCAGATTATCTGTTCATGAATGTAAAGGACAGACCTTAATTAAGCTTTGCTCGTTCCAGATTTAATGTTTAAGCAAAACCCACCTTGCAGCCCAAAAAGGAAAACATGCAAAATTTAGTCAATTTTTTAATAACTATCGAGTCTGGCCCTCGACCCAGTTTTTTTTTTTTTTTATATATTTTGGCCCACTGTGTGTTTGAGTTTGACACCCATGCCACAGAGCCTCATGTTAAACTTTGCAGCAGTAATACACATATACAGCCTGGAACAATAAATAGCATGACAACTGCATGGGGTGAACTTTTATTTAGCTCATCCATTTAGATTGTATTTGAGGCATTTACAAAAACAGATTAACATTTTCAAAAATAACATCGTTCACACCAGATTGTTTTCAAAAAAAGTCTTTGTTTACGCAAACCCGCATAAACACGAGCTGCTATGAGCATGCCAAACCTATAGGGGGCAGTGTAACGTGAAGCATAAAGCAATGCTAACCAATCAGAATCAGTAGCCAAACAATAAACATGGGTCGCTCACATATGATGCTGATGGCGCTTTTGTCGCATACTGTGACCTCAAACACCGTCTCATCCTGTCTGCATGCAAACGTAAAGTTTTCCAAATCTCCACTTCAGCCGGAGTTTTCAGATGTGATCGTTTTCGGTGACTTGTAGCTTCGTTTACGTGTAAACCAAAGGCCCAAACGCTTTGAAATATCACCGTTTTTGCGACATGCGAAGGAGGCCTAAGTGTAAAGGTATGGATAATTACGGGTTTAATTCCTGCTATCCACAACTGCCCTCATCCCCAACCGGTCGAGGCAAACGGCTGCCTTCCCTGAGCTTGGTTCTGTTGGAGGGTTTATTTTTGGTTCCTTCCCACTGTGGCCGACTGCTTGCTTATGGGAAATTGAAAGGAAACTTTGAGACTTTTCTGTTTAAAATTTGTAACGTCTTCACCTTATCATGCAAAGTGTTATTAGATGACATATGTTGTGAATTGGTGCTATATAAATATAACTGAATTGACTTGACAGGTGGGTCATGGCTCACCTCAGCTCCACTCACACTGTGTGGATTTCTTTTTCTTTTCTTTTGAATTAGAAGTCAAAGCCACTGTTCAGGAACCCTATAGCTGATGTCATGAAGAGTTTTTTCCATTTTTCCATGCAGTCAATGTTTCTTAGTGGTTAAAAAAGGCCCAAGTTTTCCAGGAACATATTCATTCTGTATGTATGATGGCTATCTATTCATTAACTAGGCCTACAAGTTTAATTATAAGCACAGTAGTGACATTTCAGTCGGAAATAAATCATAAAGTAGCACGTCATGGGTATGATTTATCTCCACGTGTGAATGTGTACGATTACCGTTCTCCTTCCCTGTAATGCAGCAACAGTCTATTCCAGATGCTTTCAGTCCGGTTCATGCCGAGACGGGCTTCTGCCCCTGTGAATAGAGAACATTCATAAATTTAATGGAAATCTGTCGTACAGTTCAAAGGCATTACCTTTTCCCCGGCATGAGTAGCCAGCTGGTCCGAAATTAAATCAGCCGGGTTAACTAAAATGAAATAGGCTTTCTCTGAACAACACAAAAACACATTTACAAAATGAATTTAAAAGAAAGAAAGACCGCGCGACTGGCCATTATTATTCCTTTTGCAGCAGCTCGTATTTATTTCCATGCATCCATCTGACGGAGAAAAATTCAACAAAAATAAAACTGGCATTTTAACCGGCTGATGTTTCTGAGTCACGTCGGTTGTGTTGCGCCAGAAAAGCAATTGGGATACATATTCAGTGTTTTCAGGAGAATCTTTTTCAAGAACTGTTTGTTTACAGTGTGAATTACACAAAAACCAACAAACTCTCCTCGCTATCCCCCCGATAAGATCAATAGGTGACTGCAGGTTGCTCGTCGTTCTTCATCTTTTACTGTCTATTAGAGTTTTGCTCTGTCGGTTTTTTTTTTTCTTCCTCGTGTTCCTTCATCTTAGTTTTTTTTTTCTGAACAGATGCTCCCGCTGTGGCTGCTTTCCACTCGCCGCAGCATCTATTCAGCGGCTGGTTCATTGTAACGTGTGCATTATACATCGGTATGCCAGTTTGGAATATGTCAGTTTGCAACTTTAACAAGTGCCGGGCTACAAAGCTTTACTTTACCGCTGCCATTCATCCACCGCTGTGCAGCAGTGTTCTATTCACCGCAACTTTTTTATAAAACATCTTCTCCTTTGTAAAAGTTTGAAACTGTCTTTCATGGGTTTTATTGAACTTTCCAGTTTACATTCAGTCATGCATTAGAAA